TGAACTCTCGTGCAACACGAAAAAAGGGCCTATCATTGTTGATCGATTCTCTTCATCGATTTTCTCTCTCGCAAATACCCCGACTGCAAATAAATGTTCCATTCAGTGTGTTGTTCCAGGCGCAAGGTAACATCATCTTCTGTCGAACTGTGCTGCAAGCTTAGCGAGCAATTCGTTTATGGTGCCGTGGTAAACCAAAGAGAAAGTCGATGCAGAGAATCGATCAACGAGGATAGGTCCTTTTCTCTCGTTGCGCGAGAACTCTCTACAACTCGATTCAAGCGACCATCGAGTTATAGAATTATCGAGATAAACAATAACAGTCCCATACACAATCGCTATCACAGTAGCCATGTAATTAAGTTTAACTATGGTTCTGCAACGCAATATCGAGTTAGTGGACATCAAGTTGTGGAGATTTGACTGTAGTTGATCGTTCGTAAGGATTTGTGAGTCGGGTTGAAAAAGACCGAGGAGCTAGCTTCATAGGAGAAATCAATATGTTCTGCAAGGATGTGGTAAAGCTGCAGTTTCACGATAATCAGTCCCGGTGAACTGTGTTTGAGGAGCTACAACTGAACGCCTTCCCAATGGCAAATAATGAACAACTTTTTCCATTTCAATTGTAAGGATAAGATATTATTTCCGACATGTAACTGAAACGGTTACGAGCCATTACGAGAATCAATAGATGTACGATATCTGTATGGGCCAAATATCTTCACTCTATGAGAACACTTTGTGTACTTTATTCAAAATCAGTTATTTACTTGACAAAAATGAAAACCGCATCCACACCTATGAAAAGTTTGTATACATCCTTTCAATATTGCGATTTTAAGCATTGCAATGTATAAACAATGTTTATACTTAGTTCGTATTCTCTCGTTGCATACCGACCTATGCGTCGGTTGGGATAAATGTGATTTACCGTAGCTTTTATACTATTTAGATTTGAATATTTTCTAAGTGTACATTTTTCGTGAATTAAAGGGCCACCAACGGCCACCCGTCCAGTCTTGGGCGTATCCAGCGAGGCATCTTTCATATTGCTCGCAATCTCCGATACCGAGAACTTTTGCAAGCGAAAAACTTACTAAATCATGGCAACGTCGGCCATCGAATCACCACCAATAATCGTGACGGACATATTATCAACACGTTCCCGGGATAATTCACCAACCGGACCGATCTCTCAATAGATCTGCACGCCGAAAGTGTAGCATCCAAACTCGGAGAACCAGGCTCCCGGGAGGCAATGAAAACCGTCACCAAACAATAGAACTGAAGCTGCGTCGTATATTTTGAAGGTTAAATTCAAGGTCAACCGAGTCGCTCAAGGCAAACACAGGCAAAACACGATATATCACTAAATGATAACTTTATGTACACTTGAAACTGAATGTCAGCACACAAATTAACAAATTTAAAGCAAAACTGTTTAATTCGCTGACGAAAAATACGCAGTGAAAGAAAAACACGTCAGCTTTCAAGCGCGGCCTACTGCGGTCTCTACCCTTTACATATTAGTAAGTCGGTTAAAAAAATCATGGGTTGGTATAAGCGCACATTATATTATTTTATTTCTTTGAACTTATTTTCTGGTTTCAAAATATACATTTTCAACTGTAAACCAAATAAATATGAAGATATTTGGTAACAAAATTGCTATCCCTTGAAAAAGATGGAATAAACCATTGAAACATTGGGAGTAGAGGAAAAACACCGTTTTACTCGCTAAAAGACTGAAAGCCGATAAAATTTATCTACAAAACAGTCCACAAGTCGATAGCATTACTATAATCAAAATTGCTGAGATATGCATATTTGAAGTAAGTGGATTGAAAAAAAAAACGGGTCGCACGATATATCATCACTGCTTTGACCAAATTGGCTCATTTTTGGGGTTAAGACTCGTTAAGCAGGTTCCGTGTGCATGACGAAGGCCGATTTTTGAAAATTGATGAAACAAAAAGATGAACATATTTTTATGTGTTTTTTTTTCATATTAAACATCGTTAGTTTTTTCTTTTGTTATTAAAAAATAAATAAATTTTGAAATCCAACGTCACCCCAAATTTCAGCCAATTTGGTCCATCCAGTCAAGAGATATCGTGGGACCCGTAAATCAACTCTGTGTTTCGAGAAAAACGCTGAAATTCGGCAAAGAACATCAGTTACTAATATTTAAACTAACACGTGTTTTCAATACGAATCGAATTCGATCATTTTTGAAACATCGCTTTTTTGGTCGATTTTACATATATGTAACCCCTTAAGTGAATGGAACTCAAATATGAGTCAGATTCAACGGCCGTGTATGAATAAAGCGAGTAAACCAATCCCGTGCTTTTCGTCGGAGAGAGTTAATTTATCTCATTTATTCATACGGCCCAAAACGACGGATGCAAAAATTATCGCGATAGACAACATTGATTGATAGCCACCAATCGAGAAGATAAACATGAGGTAAGATTTGCTGGTAACAACGATAAACTGTGTTTTAGTTATGTTGTTGGTCTGATTGAGATAATGGGAACCCCCGAGTTTGAACTTTTGCTACGTCATCGTCACGACAAGCTGATAAGGGAGTCATCAAATGGTTGCACGTTTTTCTTCTATTAGGCTTTTTTCGCTTTTGTAGCGAGTGATTTGCCCTGCTCTCAACTCAGTGTTCTAGATGCACTTCAACGGTTATTCATTGAGTGCTTTCTAAGCCAACGAATGCATGAATTTGTATATTGTGTGGTAAGCACAATGCTACTCTATACCCAACGAGAAAGATTTCCTCTACCGGACCGGACCAGGCATCGAACCCGCTGCCTCCGGCTTGGTAATACCATGTCAGTACTGACTAGGCTATCGGAGGACCTCCAGATTGCACAGTTGAACGTGATCGACCAGATAAATCTTGTTTGTTTAAATGGTGACATAATTGTTTATTGACTGTAATGGTGTGCAATATAATCAATCAATGTTTGACTTCCGCACAATGTGTACATATCAATCAACGGAAAACACATGTTGGATGCTGACAATTGGAAGATAACCCCATTTCGCTTGAAGGTCTTTCGCGAAAGGACGTTGAAAAGTAGAGTACTTTTTGATGCAATGATAAATAAATGTTTACTATCGCGGAGTGGTGCGACACATCTTAATCTCGATCATAGAAGTTCAATAAATTTAAGCTATAGGAAATAAATCTATGAAAAATCTACTTTCATTTTTCGCATCTACTTGCATCATCGTTTTGCAGGAAATCTTCATTAATCTTTTTTCTGCATCGAAGATATAGTCATCCCCCTCGACTATCGCACACATCTGCAGTTGGGGCCAATGGGAAAAAAAATGAGCCATTTTACAACCCATATTTAATGTGGTGCTAGTTGCATATCTTGTCACAATTAAGGTGTGATAGATATTGGTTGACAAAGCATTCAGTCCCACCTAGGGTCTGCAGGAGAAAATCCCTAGCAACACACATCCATCAAAACAGGTTGCTGCAACTTGATTGTGACTGAAATAAGGTGCATACAAGTAACCACAACTGTTAAGTGACAAGAGTGCTACTAGGGATGCCTTATGGATACCAAATTCAGGTATGCAAATAGCATAACTGACAACCTAAATATGGTATTGACGAGGCTGACGTAAGAAGTAAAATACCAAAAAAAAAAATACCTCAAAAATGTTCTACGAATAACGAACTAATATCTAATTTAGTTATTGTAATAACAGACGAATAACAGACGCGTTTTTCATGCCAGAATACCATAACTTGCTATTTGAAAGGTCTTCTAATACCAATACAATAACTCTTTTAGGTGATGTTGTCTAATATTTGATATTTTACAAAATATTTCGATAACTGAATAAAATCAAAACAAGGTTTTATACCACAAGCATACCAAAATAATGTATCATACCACATTAAGATATTCTTATGTTATCGGTTAGTTATCGGTTCCTGCTCGGGATATGTTCAGCAGTTTCGTTTTCAAAATGACAAAAACGACAGTCGCTTAACTATTTGTTCTAATTTTATTTAAGTGGTATCTGCTAGGGCAGTGACCAGTCATTATATCAGTTACTACCCGAAGATTTGTTTTCCTAACATTCAGTAAGATCCGAGCTTTGACAGCACTCGGTGTTGTAAATCTTTTGGCTTGTCTGGTTGTATCCGTGGCATTTCAATTAGATTCTACCATAGACGACTCCCAAGCTCTTAATTCCATCCTCAGAGCGCACTCAGGGACTCCACAAAATGGTTGCTAGACTGTCGGAATTTTCATGCCCTTCAATACCACAATTACCGGGCACCAATTGTTTTAAAGAAAGAATGCATTCCCACACTAACTTTGATCGACATGCAAACGCCTTAAGCGCATTAAGAGCTGCTTGGCTGTCCGAGAATATACAGATCTTAGTAAACCTGTTTTTCATAATTAGGCAGATTAACAATCAACGATTGCTTGAATTTCTGCTTGAAATACTGTGGGACTATATACCATTAGTACAATATTACTGACTCCAGGGCCATAGATACCAGCTCCAGTATTTTAACCCATTTTCCACCTGTCGCAGGGGTGCGCTTTGACCTATCCTATCTTATTTCATGCGTTAGTTTTTTTCTTCATATTTTATTAGATTCAATCAATTCCCTTGATGCATCCTCCCCATGGTAATTAGTGCCACCAAACTAAACATATTTCCGGTCACCGTTCACCTCCCAAATAACACATCATAAATTCCACGCACCAAGACCAGTTTCGCATAATTTTCGGTTATTTGTAAGTCGTCACAGCCCACAAAACACCACGTTCATTCCCTTCCAAGCATATCAACCCAAGCCAGACCATTCGGCCTTGAACCAGTCGAAACCATTCTTATCCAATATTAAAACACCCGAAAAAAAAAGAACGCGACAAAAACAACAACAAACCGCAAACATATAGGTGATCTCATTCAGCAGCGCTCGGTTCCAGAGCGATTGGTCTCACCTGTTGGCACGACCGGTGGATTGTTGTTTACGTACATGACCCTGCTCCGTTGGGCCATATCTCCCAGCGTCGACATTCTAATGCCGTTGAACTGCTGCCTTTACTTCCCTCTCCTCAATAGTGGCACCTATTTTGTTTTGGACTAGCGCCGTAGTGCATCAATTAACCAACCGACAGCACAAATCAGTCTCGCTCGCACACAATTGGCACAGGTCACCGTCGTTGTCTCTATCACTCTCTCAAGATCGTTAACCTATATTTATCGACAATCCGGTTCAACAGTACCCCTCCACTATAGTAGGGAACAAACAAGACTTCACTTCAGATCATATGGACCCGTTGCTCCACACTGAACCGGTAGTCAATGCACTACTATATGACTTTGCTCTGATTGTCTGTGTGTCTTCGTCTGCTTCGCAGTCTACAGCCCACGGGCACATAAAGTAATTGAGTCGTGCTGCTCAATTATAGCACTTTCATGAGATCAAATAGCCGTTGCACTGGTTTCCGCCTGCCCGGTTTGCTGCACTTCTCGTTCTTAAACTTGATATCTTCTTCACTTTTGAGCGCTGTTTATCGTCGTTGACCGATATTCGGTGGCCACGCTGACTGACTTGACTGACTGACTAAACGAACCATCCAACTCGCTTGTTGACGGTACTCTGAGATAAACCACTTTACGAGACACCCACCGAGTGGCAGAGGAGCTTTCGTTCAGTCTGAAGAAGCAGAGCGATCGAGATACGGGTCGAGGAACACCATAATCTGCGCAATAGTTGCATGTGATCTACGGTGATCCTTCGCACCAAGATGCGCAGTAATATCGCACTCGCTCGCTCGCTCGCTGGAACAGTGTAGATAATTCTCTGGAAGATTAGCGAAAATATAACATTGTTTTCATCAGTTATCTGATTTGCATTTGTTTTTGTTCTGCTGATTGTTTAGGTGGTTAGTTAGGGTAGTGAGTCAACCAAACCACAACGTGCCAGTCTCCACCAATCATTCGTTCGCCGATCATGGAGTAGGATGCACATTTCCAGCGGGCTTACACCCATTCTGGTTTTAACTGTGATGACTGTGATGTGAAACTGGTAGAACGACATTTTTCTCGGAACGATTCTGACGGGAAATATTCATGAGCATGAGAAGTCGGGAGATGGTTTTGAGCAAGCTTTGAACGGCGAGATAGGTGATAAGAACGTTGTTCGGTTATAGATTTTTTTTTTCAGAATTGTTCAGAGGATTGTGTCATCAGTTTTGAACTTTTTTTTTTGGGGTATGACTCCACTCAAGAAATATTTCTTGGAGATTGCTGAAGCAATTTAATTGAACATTTTCTTATTCATATTTCCACAAGTGTTTTTACGCTTAACGAAACATTTGCAGGGAGATGATGTCTTATGTTGATTTATGAATAACAAATTCGGCTTTGATTTTGTTCATGAGTGTGGGAGCTGCCGGAAAACAAGATCGACGGAAATCAAATCATGGAAGAAACTCAGTATCAACGCTTATCAGAGGTTAATAAAACGATCATCTGGCAATTTTTTTCTTCAGATAATGAGCTCCCTGTGTTCAGTGCTAACTAGTTGATGGATAATGATCTTAAAATTATAATGTTTTAGCAAGATTTAAAGAAATTTAAAAAATTTTATATTTATGTATTGTAATTATAAGTTGGTGAATCTTAGTGGTGAGAACTCCTTCGGACTACAGTCGCTATATCTGGTGGATAGACATTTGGGAATCAATTTTAGCAAAAATCGGAACCAATCGGGCAGTACTGACCATGACGTCAAAACCGATATTGGTGATCTAAACGCTCAGGTTGGGCAGGAGGAGAAATTTAGACCGGTTAACGGAAAGTTCAGCGCTCACCAGTTTACGAGCAACAACGGCCTTAGACAGATCATTTAGTAGTTAGTGTCATCTTGTGTTCTCCCAAGTTGTTAGCTGCCCATTGGTGTACCCCCATGTTTGTCTTTTTCATCAGTTGGTCGCTTAGTTCGAGAGCAAGAGCACATTGCTCTCCAAACCTTGTGTTCTCAATCCCTACCCTGCCATCCATTTGTTACAATTTGTTACCCCTAACCTCGAGATAGCCGCGAGTAATCGGCCCCCGCTTTACTAACGTTAGTTTTAAGAAATTTTGTAGCCTAAATAATGAATATCGGCTCCGCAAAGCTACGGCAAATGAGCCTGGAAAAAATAAATGCATTTATGAAAAAAAAAACGACCTCAGACTCATGGATTTCGCCACCTCCAAGAATATGACCATACGTAGTACCTATTTCCAGCACAACCTTCCATATCGGTACACCTGAAGATCACCACTACAGACAGAATCACAAATCGACCACCTTTTGATTGATGGAAGACGCTCGTGGGATATCATTGACGTCAGGACTTATCGCGGCGCAAACATCGATTTGGACCTTGTTATGGTGAAAGCGCGCCAAAGACTTTCCGTTGTCAACAACATTCAGTACCGACGCTTGCTACGGTACAATCTGGAACGACTCAAGTTACCCGAAGTCGCAACTGACTACGCGCAAAACCTTGAAGCAGCGCAGTCGGACTAGGGAGAGCTGACCGAAGCCCCTCTTAAGGACTGCTGGTATAGTGTCAAAGCAACCGGACAATACATGAACTCCAACCCATAGTGGTTTCTTTTGTCCTGATCACGAGCGTTCATATCTTTCTACGTAGGAACCATCCAGTTCCTGGACAGTTATAGACCGCAATTCTGTCACAAATCAATGGTCTGTTGAATTAAAACAACCGCACCCTGGATCTCTGCTTTGTGAGTCCTCGTGATACAGCACCTTTCCTCTCCACGGCACCCGAACCTTTAATCAAGGAAGTGCATCATCACCCTGCTTTAGTTATCGTGATCGAAAATAATATTGTCCATGATTTCATCAGCACTCCAAACGCTGTGTCATATGAATTCGGTACAGTAGACCATCGCAGTATTGTCCATGTGCTGTCTAACCTAGATTGGGAGCATATTCTAGACCCTGTAGACGTCAACATTGCTGCACAAACCTTTTCTCACGTCTTGGCATATGTCATTGACCGGCACGTTTCCTAACCCGAGCAGGAGAAAATATCTAATGAATACCTAATTCTGATCTGATAACAAAATTTGGTGTTGACCAGCATGACACAAGAGGTAAAATACCAAAGAAAAATACCAAAAAATTTCATGGAAAATACTTTGTAAATACCAAAAATTTATATTTGGATACCAAAAGAATACCTGGGTGGTATTGTTATGGTATTGCATTATCATAATTTGGTATTGGAATGGTATTGTGAGAACATTTTTTGGTATTATTTTTTGGTATTTTACCTCTTATGTCAGGCTCATCCATACCAATTTAAGGTATCGAGATATTCGTTATTGCTCGGGAAAAGATCATCCATATCGACTCTCGCGTCCCGTGGATGACGAAAGATCTTCGCTCGCTGAAAAGAACTAAGAAGGCTGCGACTGAAATGCCACTATGTGAGACTCAACCACGAGTATAAGCGGTTAAGTCGTCTCTGTTTTCAACGCTATCAAAGGAATATTCAACGGCGGCTAAAAACACACCCGAAATCCTCCTGGAACTTCGTAAATGAGCAACGCAGGGGAGTCGGCTTACCCTCTTCCATGATTTTTAATTGTAAAGCTGCTGGCAATCAACAAAACATTTGCAACCTGTTCTCAGCCAAATTTGCTATTGTATTTGAAGACGAGCAACTCTCCGCTAATCTCATTACTTCCGCGGCCAGTAATGTTCCTTTGGTCAACCAAACGCTTAGCGTTGTTGACGCCACTACAGATACGATTTCTAGAGTAGCATCTAAACTTAAGACTTCAGTTAAGTCTGGACCCGATGGTCTTCCGTCGATTATTCTCAAAAAGAACATCACTTGTGTTTTAGATCCACTGCGCCGCATATTCCAGCTATCTCTTTCCGGCGGCAAGACGCTGGAAGACTGCGGATATGTTTCCTGTTCATAAAAAAGGAAGCAAACGCGACATAAACAACTACCGCTCGCTGAGTGCTGTATCAAAACTAAATGCGCATTGCAAGCAATATCTAAGTATAGATCAACACGGATTTATAACTGGATTTATAATCCACACCTACAAACCTGCTGTGCCTAACGTCTTACATCACAGACAGTTTGATTGCTCGGGCCCAAACGGACGTTATTTACACAGATCTTACGGCAGCCTTCGATAAGCTGAACCACGAAATTGCGATCGCCAAGCTTGATAGGCTAGAGATCGGTGGAATTCTTTTGAAATGGTTTCGTTCATACCTCACGGAGTGCCAACTGACAGTAACTTTGGGTGCTTGTCGCTCAGCAAGCTTCTACGCAAAGTTCGGGACCATTGGTATTTATCCTTTACTTCGACGACGTTCACCATGTTATCACAGGGCCACGATTATCGTTTGCAGATGATCTGAAAATTTTTCTGCACATCCGCTCACTCGCCAACTGCCGTTCTCTGCAAAATCAGATTGACATCTTTGCTGACTGGTGTAGTCTAAACCGACTGGTGGTCAACCCAGCCAAGTGTAATGCATGACTTTCTCAAGCAAGAAACAACTACAAACTACTAGGCACGACTATCGAACGGGTGTATTTCGTGAAAGACTTAGACGTTTTTCTGGACACAAAGCTGACATACTCAGACCATACATCGTATGTCGTCGACAAAGCGTCCAGAACTCTTGGTTTTGTATTCACGATTACCAAGAACTTCACAGACATTTAATGCTGGAAATCGCTCTATTGCTCTCTCGTACGCTCTAATTGGAATACTGCTCTGCAGTCTGGAGCCCGAACTACAATAATGGGGCCGAGCAAATTGAATCTGTTAGCTGCCTTGGAGATACCCACTTCGTCTTCCAAGCTACGAGAATCGCTGCCAATTGATCAATGTCGAGCCCTTACGTACCCGAAGAGATGTTTTCAGAGCCTTCACCGTCGCCGATACTCTGCAAGAAAGAATCGACTGCGAAGCAATTCTGCAACAAGTGAACATTAATGTTCAACCTCGATCACTACGCAACGGTCTTATGCTAAGACTTCCACTTCTTCGAACTAATTATAGCTTAGGGAACGCTATTTACGGCTTGCAGCGAGTGTTCAACCGAGTAGCGTCGATGTTCGATTTCCACTTGACACGGAATATGCTTCGCCGAAGATTCTCTGCCTTTTTTGCTGACCGAAGGCGCTTGACGCCCAACAGCTAGGGGTAAAATTTTAGACTTATACATTTTTGGTAACTTGCAACAATGCTTTCCTTGTTATGTTCATTGAGACTATTTCTAGTATGTTGATGCAAACATAACAAATCTATATAAATGGATGAATTTCTGTCTGTGTGTCTGTCTGTCTGACCCTTACAGACTCGGAAACTGCTGAACCGATCGGCGTGAAAATTTGTAGGCAGGGGTTTTAGGGGCAGGAAATGGGGGGGGGGGCTCCCATGCAAATGAAACAGAAATTTCTGCATAACTTGAAACTAATCAAGTAAATGGAACCAAATTCGTCATGTGGAGTTCATAGGGGTTAGTCCCTTAGATAAGAGAAGGGGGGGGGTCTAAGTACAATATTGCACTTTTTTTTAATTGGTGCATAAAC